CCCACTCCTCTCGTTAAACGGAGGCGTTTATGATACCTTGGTTACATTTGGCATGCATGCGACCATTTATAAGCATCCGGCTCGATGGGCAATCTCTTTGCTATTCCATTACCAATATCCGTGCGCCTTTATAGTGCCAAGAGCATTGAGTCCATCCTGAACCGAATAGAGCAAGGAAATAGGACTTCATGCATAGATCAGACGGCGACCAATCAGAGAAGCCCGAGCACGTGCTTCAATTTGGATAGTGACGAATTGCGTGGAGTCGGCGGTCTTCGAGGGCTCATTTAAATGTACGATACCATGCGCCTCTTATCGCATTATGGTAAATACGGGCTATACTCGGTCTGACTGTTTCCAGGCTTCCTCTACTGCCGTAATATACATATACACATAGTCTGACTCCTACTAACTCCCTCTGCGTCTCTCTCTGTCGTATCCAGCTCGTTTCCAGGAACACGAGGAAACACGGAAACGCTGATTGCAAATTGACTTCACCGTCAAAATAATACAAAGCGCCCAACTTGCAATTCTTGTTGCCCAAAGTTCGTTACTGCTTTCAAGTTCTCTGTTGGCATATATTATGTATATTTACTATTTTGTAGTTGTCCAATTTTACTTCTCAATCTATCCGTCTATACCAACGTCCTTTAACGTTCGCCAATCTCTGACACCATCTTTCTTTTTCCCACATCCACAACATTAAAATATGCGGTGGGTAAAATGCGGCGGGCGCAAGCAGTACGAGTACAACGGATAATTGTACTCGCAAATTTAATAAGCTGTATGCATACCTATAATTGAAGTATATTATGATATGTATATTTCGATAAGCGGACTGTTCGAAAACTGGTAATTTTTCAAATTCAACGCGTTTCATGGCTGTTGATTTCGAAAATTGTCCCAGGAAGTTGTTTTTACGCCACCCTCAATCCAGATACGTATTAAAAGGCAGTTTAGCTGCCGATTAAAAGCCGAGTATACAGGATGACTATCAGCAAGGGAAATCATCGCCTTCGGCCATTAACTGACTAAATAATGGGTCTCCGTATAAGATGGTAATCGTCAATCATCCGGCTGATTGTCACGCTTATCGATCATGTAACCGTCTTAATTGCATCGCATTAACTTTAACAATATGATTATCGATTACTCATCGAGGCACTGATTACTCTATCTGTTCTTAATCTATTATATTGTCTTTGTTTACGAGCTGACACGTGCGGAACTTACGAAGAAGGCACTTTCCACCAGAAATTTTGCGAAATTTTCACGCGAATCGCTATAATATGCAAAGTGGTAAACGAGTCCCCATATTACCAGAGACGAATAATTTAATACAAAAATGTCAATTTAGACAATTTTTTCTTTCTTTATTTTTCCTCGTGTATAATAAATTTATTCTAATCTAACTTTTTATTGATATATCATTAAATATATCATAAAAATCAATAAATAAATTTATTGTTTGTATTTTTTTAATAGTACACTAAGTACCCTTATCAACCGCCATATTTATTGCACTGTTTATATCGTTTTACTGGCACGAACGGCTAATCGGCTGTTATCGCCATTTATCGTTAGTCGTTCGCGAGCGCTCGACTCGCGCGGTTTGCTCCCGTCTTTGTCGCTGTGTGTTACTTAAGTGCGTTGCATAAAAATACCTATTTGGAATGATGAATATGTATGATTAAATGTAAGTACTTTGTGGAGCACGTAATAGTGTTGATACGGTATACTGTACGATTCAAAGTCTATTTATACATTGCGATCGTGAAGGTTATTTGCGCAGAATTGCATCAACGTGAATCAATTAATAGTCCAACTCAGCCATATAAGCGATTTAACAAGTTGGCTCTCGTTATCTTTCACTGTGACACTGAAATGATAATCGATATCGATGCCATGAAAAAGTCGTCTTATATTTTAACATACGTACGCCGTTTACTTCTGTACTTAGTACACACAGGCCAGTGCGATATCGAACAAGTGCTGGTAATGTCTTCGCATCGAATCCCCTTTATACAAGCAGTTTTAATCCGCGATCTTCTGTCAAAGGTCACGGAAAACAACTGCACGCGATTCAGAGACATTTAAATCGATAAAAAATTAAATGGTGACCTTCGACCACTAATCTTCTAATCTGTAAAAAAATATCACGTGAATTGGAAGCACTTTTACAGAGGGGGTTTTACGAAATTGATAAAAAAGAAGATTGGCTACGGTACAAGAAAGACGTGGGAGGGTAATTCGACAGTGAAGTATCAAGTGAGAGATATAGGCAGAGGATAAAGAGAGAGAGACAGACCAAGGGTGAAAAGTTAGTTTTCGTAGTATATATATATTGTGTAACAGTAGAAGGGCACAGGAGGTCGAGATAATGGGGGTTAGAGTTTACACGACACAAAGAAGGAAACCAGACGGGGTCGCACTGACAACACAACACTTGTGCGCTATGGCTTAAGTTTCATAATGCCACTCGGGCAACTGTGATACAGAAGATACGTAGACTTAATATAATTTGCATATCGTCAGGTCGATTTACCTGAAAACGACGGGTTTTGGTGAAGGACATTCACTCGCGAAATTGTCGCCTTGAGACAGGCTAACTCTGCTCCAGTATAGTATCAGGGCTTCTCTCCAACTGACAGTCGAACAAGGGATGACATTGACATGTTAATATGTCGTATTATAATTCTTCGATATGATAAAGTCTATACGACGCTCTATTATATTCAATTCAGATATAATACATATATATTACATAAAGGGACATTCGATCGCTCTCCTAAAGGCTGATATGAAGTAAACGATATTTGTCCAACGATCAATAGCAATTTAGCTACCCTTTGGCATTCCATATACTGCACTTGAAGGACGGATATACGGTGCGCGCATCAGCCAACATCCGCAAGCTTTTCCACCCTCTCGAATCCCTCTATCATTTCATCCTTCCGTTTCTCGCCCCGCATTACCAACCCCTCTGGCTTGCGGTACTATGGCATAGTCTGAACTCATCCATATACATCGGGAAAATTAATATCTGAGCTTCGTTGCTGAACGTGCGATCGTGCCTGCCGCACCGCACAGTGCCGCCATTCCGTGACGGTTCGTTCGCTCTCTGAATAAACTTCACAGTTTTTTCGTTTCCTGACTGTTGAGTGACGTCACGGCAAAGATCTCATCTAGCTATGGACAACGGGCGGGGGGAGGGGAAAGGTAAATAAATTCGTCACCTTTCAACCAATTTTATTGTCGCAAGCTTGATTCCGTCCATTGCGAAATAAGAAAAAGTAAAAAAAGCTGAAACCATCTTTATTCGGTGTTAACCACGTTGCGCAGCTCTTTGCCGTCGACCGTAGCTGCAAATATTTTCCTTCTATATTTCCTAAAGTCGTTCGCTCGCGATAAAACCGCGACCCGAATTTGCTAGGAGCAGACAGCTTTTCGTGGAAACGACGAGCCACGCTGAAAGTGGTACCGTAGTGGAACGATGCGCTTATGGGATTGGGGAGTTGGGGTGGGAGAGGGGGGGGGGTTTGGAAAATTTTTCGGAATAACGTAAACAGCCGGCACGTGCTCCTATTTCATGAAGGCGAGTTACGGATATTCTTTGGACTGCTTGGTATATATTTTTTGTTCTTCTTGAACTGGAATTTTCTCTATTCGCGTTTCCTTTTATGTAATGTCACGGCCGTGACATCTAGAGCATCCTGTATGTCTGACGTTAGCTTATTTACATATTTAACTAACTCAACACGGGGCCATCGCATATATTAACGAATAATCTGGAATATATTAATTCGCATGAGACGCATACCATCGCTTTGAATTAGCGCGTAGCTACTATACTTGATTCCACATGGTGAAACGCCGAATTGGGTATATGCTGTCTATGCATATTGCACTAATGCTTTCGGGGCTTTGGGCATTACCCTATGGTTGCACTTGGGCATTACCCAAATGGTTGCACTTTCATACGCATCTGTACTTTTATCAAGTTTTCACTTTTATGACTATCGAGTATCTAGTAGGACGTGACGCGAATTATTTAAATTCGCCAAAATCATCTCGAGTAAATTTGTGATTTTGTTTTTTGATAATAATTTCGGAAGTGAATGGGTTTGCATTATTACTGAAAATGTGATCTTAGATTGTTAAGAAATTCTTCAGTTTTGAAAAATTCAAGAAACCATTTTTTTTATTTTCTATTATAATTTTCCATACAATTCCAACCCCCCTTATCCAGTCGTACAATGATATCTAGTCCCTTGTCACATTTACTTTTCCCATTACACCTATCTTACCCTTATCGCCATGTCCCGTCGTTTCTTGAAATATTACATTAAATTTAACGATAAATTCCTATTCTCTCCGGTTTTCGTTATCACCCAAAATTCACAAGAGATAAAGGTGCATACCTATGTACGTTCGTATGTATACATATATAGGCATGTATAGGACTCTCGTAAAATTCCCAAAGGACCGCAGATACATACCTGCGAACCCGATTCACACCTCGATTCGTATTGGCGATCGGTAACGGTAGGATCGTTTCAATTCGTACGCAACGGTCCCGAACGAACACAAAGCCTATTGAAACGCACTAACAAGGGTCCGACAAGTGGAGATATGCGAGGAACGAACGAACGAACGAGCGGACGTAGGATGGTCAGTCAAGAGTAGGTATTAAAGAAGAGAGAAGGGAAGATCAGCCTAAACCAGCAACCCCTGTAAAATCCAAAAGCAAAAACTTCACCCATGGTATATGACCATTGAATGTAGCGGTGAATCTTGCAAGTGTATTTTCCTGATCGATATACGAATTCCAGCATCCGTAGCGCAAGGTGTTTCAGGTGCACGAACAATGCCGTGATGCTTGTTCGTGATACTCGGTCGCGCAAACCTCCTCAATAATCCAATCAATGTGGTAGCAAAACACGCGATTAAGCAACATCCACACCTGAAGTAAACGAATGGCGAAACCGCTTGTGTTACAGGAAATGGAAATTTGGAACTGTTCGATAGCGAGAGTGGTCCGGACCTCACGTTATCACCGCAGACCTTCACATCAACGGCAGAGGCCTTTATCAATGATAATAGTGACAGTCTTGGGGTTCCGGGGGACAACGATACGGGTGAGTTACTTTTTCTTTCTGTTGCTTCTTTTTTCAGATGTGAATTAGACTGAGTCTTGCCACGTGCCGCTGGGCTGAGGTCGTTAATTGATTCAAGTATTTTCTTGCTCAGCGGACAAAGTATGCGCATTATATTCTGCGGTACGTCACCCGTTTTCACGTTATGATGAATATCCGGTCCGAGACAAGCTTAAGCAAACCCGAGCCAAACACATTCCGAACACTATTGACTCCTCCTACTATCTCGTGATATTACTCGCAGGCTTGCCAACTTCTTGCAGGGCTCCGAATTGTTCTGCAATTCTCACCGTTCTCCCGTGAAACACTCCATCTGGATTTACCACCCTTTAGCCATTCTAGAATTCGCTTCCAGTCTCTCGATTTTCTGTTGGGGTTGCGCGTATTGCTTGTTACGATATACATCACTTGACGTGGGAGAATGAATTTATCAGCTGATATTTGTACAACATCCGGTTTGATGGTTTCACCATGAAATATGCAGGGACGTTGAGCATGGTCCAGTCGTACCGGAAGTCATCTCCTGGAAGGAGTTTGTTAATATTTTGGCATAGTTCCTGGAAGCTGTCCTGCTTGTTTCTGAGATTTGTTGGCCATGAATAAATTTTGAGGCAATTAGCATATTGACGGGAATTATTCCGGTAGGTTCGAATGGAGGTTTCCAAGTTTTTCAAGAACGAAAATTACTGAACAGTCAGTTGATGCCGAGAACATAAGTTTCACGTTTTGAAAATCTTCACTGGAAGATTCTACGTTTATTTTCTCGACACTGAAATATACTTGTTCTCCTGTTCTTACGTCAGATACCTTGCAAAATTATTAAATAATTAGCCGTGCAAGAGATTAACATGGAAAGGACCGAATTATTCGGGACGTAGAATAGAACTTTTTAATATTGGCTTCATCAGGGCCGATGAAAGTTCATAGCCCGCGGAGTGAAGATATCTTCGAGAATTCAGTTCGCACGAGACGGCACGAGACTGGAATCGCATTATAAAGTTGCGTTGCGTGAGGGTAGAACCCACCACTAGATAGGAGGGTAGAAAAGTTCCCTTGTCAGAGAGCCAACTGCCTCAGGGTAAGACTTCTTCTAGCGTACTCTTTCTCCCCCTATCCTCCCTCCTTCCCCCCCCCCCTCTCTCTCTCTCGCTATTGCATCATTGCAGCCCCTCACAGTCAGGATAGAAACACCTGATAGAGCAACCGCTAAGACTTCAGTGACCGGCGGATCGGTGCACAAAGGAGAAACGAAAGGAAAAGGAGTAAAAAAGATGAGAGGGAAGAAATAGCGTGATAAAGGGGTAGGTGGGTAGAAGTTAACTTCGGTGCCAGGGAACCTCCTCCTTCGGTGGACTAGGTCGCCTTCTGTAAGAAAAGGGATATTGCATTCTTGAGTCGAAGCAATTATCGACAGCGGAAGGTATCGTCTCTGTTCGTAGCTGCCAACACCTCAAACCACCAGCCTCGAATCGCCAACCCCTAACCATCATCCCCTAGCCTATAGTAGTTTCGCCTAGAGCTCCAACCTCTTCACCCCATCCAAGCTCCTATGGGTAAATAGATAGAGGTAGGTACTCGCTTGAATACTCTCTGGGCCTATGTCCTTCCCATTCTACCGCCCCTACGAAAACCCTTGGAGCGAACGGGACAAGCAGCTCTCACTGGCACTCGAGGCTTAGCGCAAAGGAGAGCTAAAACTCTCTTACGCTTACTCACCCTTAGGATCCTACAACAAGAACGGTCTTTGCTACCTAGCAACTATGTTCTTGTTACCGCGCCACTTCATTGCATTCCTAACCTTTAAACCGCCGCCATTTACTTCGTGTACTCTTCGTGGCAATCTATGCCTGGCGCCGGCAATGGAATATCCATTCGATCCGAAAAGTCTTCGCGTGGACGAAATCCAATTTCTTGTTTGTGCTGCCGGAATGACGTGGCAAAGAAACGATCACGAGAATTCTTCGACGTGTCACCGTCAGGATCCTCCTGAGAGTGAATGCACCGACTTAATGGAACTTCCGTCAAAAATACGTATCAGCGTCACTCTTCTTATATTTTACTGCCATTGCATCTAACACGAATCTTGTGCACTGTTTTTTTTTTTTTTTTTTTTTTTTTTTTTT